ATGTGTTTTAACAGAGTCAATGGAGGCCAAACAGAAGCAGTTCAAAAACTTTGTCCATAGAGCTGTGCTTACATGGCACATCCAAGCAACCAAACATATATACATTAATAACTCACAACAGAAATGTAGTAGCATAAGTTCCGTACAAACAGGATCATTCAAAAACTAAGTCAACCCATGAAAATTATATACAACATATACAAAGACTTTGCCAATATACCAACATAAAACAAAATGACAAAAGGCAAAGGCGAGTCTCATGCGTGAAACACATAGGCTGACTCTCCAAAACTCGGTTGTTCCACACAGACTTCACTGGGGCTGGGTCTGGACCTCTTTTGGCTCACCTACAAACACATGAATGAGCGTGAGCGATAGCCCAGTGAATAATATCAAATAAGAAGACACAAACGATATGTAGAATAACATACTCCGAACGGCCTTGGGCCCAATTCACATTTTTATTTAACATTTATTCATCATTCCTATCAAAACGGCCTCTGGCCCACTCATTTATGTCAAAACGGCCTTCGGCCCACTCATTTATGTCAAAACGGCCTTCGGCCCATTCATTTATGTCAAAACGGCCTTTAGCCCAGTCATTCATGTCAAAACGGCCTTTAGCCCATTCATTCATGTCAAAACGGCATTTGACCCATTAATTCTTGTCAAAACGGCCTTCGGCCCATTTGTTCATGTCAAAACAGCCTTTGGCCCATTCGTTCATTCGTATCAAACATTTGTCCATAATTCAAACTAGCAAACTCACAAGGCTTATAAGGAAATAAGCAATTGGACAACTGATAAGTTTCAAATATCGATATTACTCATAGTAATCGGTTGGCTGGTTTGCCCTGGACCTCGACCCTACACAGTCCATGAACACAAAAGGGTCAACAACCATTCAATCCGTTCCCAAATTCACATTTTTCTCTTTAATCTTTATTCTTATCTCTTTAACTCAATTACAATGCTCAATGCATGTCTAAGAGTACTTAGAAGTGAAAGAGAACAGAAAACAAAACACAGAATGCATTTTCAAAATTTCAAAAAACAGGGTCCCCGCTCGAGCGGACCCTTGAGGTTTGCAAAAGTACTGGATAGGTGAAAATTACGCTCGAGCGTTCATTCTGGCGCTCGAGCGGAAGGCCTCTCTACATGGCTTCCCGCTCGAGCGTGAACTTCCCAGCTCGAGCGGGCACCATGTCTGTAAAAAGTACTGGATGTATCATTTTTACGCTCGAGCGTGAACTTGGACGCTCGAGCGAAAGTTCATTCCACATAGTTCCCCGCTCGAACGTGAACTTCCCCGCTTGAGCGGACATCATGGTTTGCAAAAAATAATGGGAGCACGAAATTCACGCTCGAGCGGCGGTTTTCCCGCTCGAGCGGACATCAAATTTCTGGGTTTTCCCAGATTGTGTTCTTGAGCTCAAATTCAACATTTCAACCACATTTCTTGCATATTATGGCTCCAATTTCACATATACTCGTACTAACATGATATAAACACCAAAACACATCATCATGGAGCTCAATTTCTTGTATTACCTACATGCATGTCTCAAATTAATCCAAATTCATCACCAACACATCAAATTCAAACATGCAAAGCTTACACTTTCATGATCTATTCTTGCATGTGAGAAATACACATTATTCACAACTTATTTGGTGAAGAAATGGTCATACACATGGATTTCAATCAAACTTCAACATAGATTACACAAATTAAGCTCAAACATGGAAATCCATAGCAACTCTCTACATGCATGTGTTCTATGACTTCAAATTCAAATAAATCAACTCAATTTCCTTATAATCAAACTAATTCATGTTCTTGGCCATTAATCAAACTTGAATTTACAAATTCCAAACAAAACCCATGAGATACTCACCTATGAGCCTTGATTCTCACAATCTATAACAATTTCTTGGGAAATCTTCAAGGTTTCCACACTTGAGCCAAAATTGCACAATTTCTCTCCCTTTCTCTCTCTATGGCCGGCCCTCTCTCTCTCACAATTGTATAACTCATATTTTTGAGTTCAAAAGAGTTAAAGGAGAGTGTAGTGCCTTCATACAACAAGCCCCACTAATTCAATTTAATAATAATAAATAATTGGGCACTAATTCCATAATTTAATCTGTTTAATTCGACTCGAATCAATTTTTCAATTAAACCTCACCGTAGGCTCTAAAAATCATACCAATCACAATGGCGTAATCAATTTTTGCTTTTGGTGGCCGATAAGGCCTTCAATTTAATTTTCAAAGCAGATAATCAAACAAATATTCCTACGGTGAGCAGATAGAAATTCAAAACCGCATATATTTACATAATGGCACACAAAATCATATTAAACACATAATCATACTCAAATTAAGGACCAATTAGCATACTACGGAACAGGGATATCACAATATCACTCAATTCAACAGACCCAATTGTCAAAACCACACAATATCACTCAATTCAACAGACCCAATTGTCAAAACCACAACAATTTTTTCAATACCACAACAATTTTGTCAATCTTTAACAAGCAAGAAAACAAAAAGAATTTGCAAAACTGCACAACCCATTTCGATTTCAACAGCAGAGAACAACCCAATTGAAGAAAAACAAGAAAGATGAGAATTGAAGTAGTACCTTGGTGGGTTCATACGAAGAACAAGTTTCTCAAATTCATCATCGACGGTGAGAGAAGAAGACCAGTAATTCATTCGCAAACCAAACAAGAAATTCACCACAAAACACACACAGAGATAGCGAGAGAGAGAGAGAGAGGTGTGGTGTGTGAATCCTCTCTTCTTCTATCTCTTGTTTTTGGGTCTCTACCAAATGAGTTATAGGTGGTTAACTGGCAAAGTATTTGCTGGCTATAGAGTCGGACCAAGAATCGTTTTGGAGGGACATAAAAATGAAAACGAAGGGCAGGCCTCGTGGGGTACTATTCAGAGAAATTTGACTTTAGTCCAGAGATAGAGGGATTTGAATGTTGATCCAGAGAAATTTGTGAAAGGTTTAAGGGTTTTTGATGTTAGTCTAGAGATCCAAATAAATTTGAATGTTAGTCCAGAGAAATTTGAAAAAGGTTTTAGGGTTTTTGATGTTAGTCCAAAGATCCAAAGAAATTTGATGTTAGTCCAAATAAATTAGTGTAGAGAAATTTGAATGTTCAAGGTCTTGAATCCAGAAAAATTCCAAGGATTACTTTGTTTGTTGAATTCATTATGAATATAGACATAAATATAGTTATTGGATCAAGTTTCTTTTTATAGTATAAGAATAATGTTGGATCAAATCACTGAAGCCATTAAATTGCAGACAACACAAGTGAATTTTTTTGGTTAGAGGAGATTTTCTTTGGGGTTGAGTAAATTTCTTTGGAGTGGAGAGGGAAATTTCTCTGGGTTGAATCCAGGAAAATTCTCTAGTGAGATTTTCTCTGTGAATATGCATCCAAATCACTGAAGCCATCAAACTGCAGACAACACAAGTGAATTTCTCTGGTTGGAATGGATTTTCTTTGGAGTTGAGTAAATTTCTCTGGGGTAGAGAGGGAAATTTCTCTGGGTTGAATCCAGAGAAATTCATCTGGTGAGATTTTCTTTGTGATATGTCCAGAGAAATTTAAAATTTTCTCTGATGTTTGTTGGTGTGGCTACATCTCGTGTGAAGGACCTCTTTGCTAGTGCTAGATCATTTGCACCTTCTATCATTTTCATTGATGAGATAGATGTTATTGGTAGCAAACGTGGTGGACCTGATGTTGGTGGGGTATGATAATAGGCTTCATCTTTCATGTCATTTGCAGACTATATATGTATACAGACATATCTTCTTGAACATGATCCACAGTAGTTATCTCTTGTGAGTATGTAACTTGTCTTGCAGTCAAAGTTTAAAACTTATTCTGCTTCATTAGTCATTTTAAAATTTAAAAAGTAGGCTTGTAATGGGTGGAAATTTCTAAGAGGCTTGTTTTAATGGTTTGTTCTTTTTTTCTGTTACTAGTTTGATTCAGCACACATTGCACTAGGTAGGAAGATGTGAAGTATTGCCACTCGTAGTCGTATTTTTATTTTGTAGTTTTTCTATTCCTGGGTGCTTCATCATGAAGTAACCTCCTTAGCTATTATATGTAGGGCTGTAATCTTTGTTTTGGGGAGGTTTTTGAGAAATTGAAATATCAGATTTTGGTATTTTGTTTTAGCATTGCTTTGCTACTTCTTAGGACTTTGTTTTATGCCCCATAGTTCGTGAGATTTGAGCCTGTTTGCTGGATTTTTCAGAATCCAGTCTTAAAATTTGATTCTTTCATATTTTGGCCATGATCCAAGTGTTAATTGGATTCATCTTTGATTGTAGTTGTTGGAGCCTCCAACCAAACTACGTCACTAGTATTTCACATTTTTATTATTTAGTCCAATCAATATGCACTTGATAGTTCCAACTGACTGTTTTAAATCTTTATGAATGTATCTGGTTCTCATAGGGTGGTGAGAAATTTGGAATTTTCTCTGTTATGTGTCCAGAGAAATTTGGAATTTTCTCTGGATAGATGTTGAGGGACCTTAGACATCATGAAAATATTGAGTGTCTTTTATGCTATAAAATCTTAATACCAGGGACCTTAAAAAAAATTCTCCAAAAATATATAGGAAATGTGATAAAGAAAACCAAAAAATTTAAAAAATTCACTTTTAACTAACTTTTCAAAATAGATCTATTTCTGTTTCAGACATTATTATACAAATCTAAAAATTAGACTCAATTTTCAAGTTTAATGATATGACAATCAATTAGAATATCTAAAGTAACATTTTTTCTCATATGTTCTCAATCATTAACCAATTATATCACCTATATTACACATTATTAAATTTAAAAATTAAGTTTAAAAAATAATTTTATATATCATTTTCAATTTCTATAACACACAAATTTGGGTCTCTAAAATTTATCCATTTCATAGCAGACCACAACACGACCATTCATTATCCACACACCCAGTAAACAAACTACTAGAAGAGGTCGGTCCTTCCTCTCAACCAAAACAATGGCATCGTCCTCAACAACCTTCTCTTTTGCTTTCAAAGTCTCACCCCCAATTGCTCGCTCTTCTACTACTAGTCTTCGTACCTCTCCTACCATTGTTCGACTCTCACAATTCACCAAGAAATCCTCAGTCAACCTCAGTTCCTCACACACCATACCTGGCTTCTCCCCAATCCTTCCTCGTCTCACCTTTCCCACTCAAATCCCCCAATCTCTCACCGTCATCTCTGCAAAAAGGTACAAAATGAAAACCCACAAGGTCTTTCTCTCTATCTCTGTGTGTTTTCTAGGTAATTGAGGAATTGGGTACTTATTTGATTTGTTTTTTGGGGTGTTTTTAGGCTTCGGCGAAGCGATTTCGAGTCACGGGTAGTGGGAAGATTATAAGGAGGAGAGCTGGGTAGCAACATTTGCTTAGAAAGAAGAATACCAAGAGGAAATTGCGACCCACAGCCGTAGATTGTGGGTACAAGCTTGATTCCTCTTTTCAGCCATCACAACCCTCTCACCTACCTCAGTCTCACCTACAGCTAATACTAAAGCCTATGTTGCCTCTACTTCATACTCAGGCTCACAGCAGTCTGATTCAAATTGGTTTCTTGATTCCGGAGCTACTAGTCATATGACAAATGATCTCAGCAATCTTTCATTTTATCAGCCTTATCAAGGCCATGATCGGGTAGCTATTGGTGATGGTACTACTCTGCCTATTGCTCACACCGGTAATGGACTTCTTTCTACTCCTTTCCCATTTCATCTCACCAACATGCTTCATGTACCTACTCTTTCATCCAACTTGCTTTCAGTCCATCAGTTGGCAATAGATAACAATTGCACTATTACTTTTGATGAAGATTCTTTTCATGTTCAGGACAAGAACACTAGAGAGTGCCGACAAAAAAAGAAAAAGAAAAATCAAAATCAAAATAAAACAATTTACTAGCTTGCAATCTAGTTTAGAAAACAAAAGCGAATTTAACCAGCCATATGGCGTTTGAAATTTGGCAACATTTGTTCTACACTTGACATTTAACGGAATTTAGCCCATTGACTAGAGCTCTTGCACCATACTAAGAGGTCAAGAGTTCGATACTTTCTACCTGCGTAAGGCCCTATTCACCTTGCAGTCGTTTTGAGTATCTCTTTCCATCTCTAGGAGTTTATTTGTTGTTCTTTATGTTATTATTGTTAATTCAAGCTACTCAATGTTTTGAGAAAAAATGTAATTTAAAAAGGATTAACTACACTAATGACCTTCAAAGGATATTACACTATTTTAGTCCTAATTTTTAGTTGTTCCATTTATGTTCTCAAAGTATGTGATTTGTTAAATTTTAATCCCTACAATAATGTCATTCAAAATCAATAACAAAAGAAGCATTTTTAAAAAATTACGAAACTCAACAAAATCAAAATAACAAATAACGAAAACGTGGTGGAATTAATCAAAAGCCAACTTTTTGGAATTAACGAGGACTTGGTGGAATTAATAAAAATTAAAGCTAGCTTTTTGAGAAGTCCGTGAAAAGTTAGAGATTTTTAGTTTTTTAATTTTTTTTTGAAAAAATTTACAAAAAAATACCGGAGTGATGTGATTTAAAAAAGTCAAAAAGTTGGCTTTTAACCAACTTGTCAAATATGCATATTTTTCATAAAAATTAAAGCAAAATCATAAATTCATAATCAAAACCAAATCAATTAAAATTATAATAACTAAAATGACATAAAGACCAAAGTACAGAGATTATTGTCACAATTTGCCCTTCTTGTAATTAAAATTCTAAGCGTTAATATTGGAAGCACTTTTGGATAATGATTTTTTTCGTTGAACTGTGAATATGAAGTTTTTATTTATTAATCCCTCAGAAAATGAGGTTTGTTTGTTTATTTATTTATTTATCATTACTCAAAGAATAAAATTCTTTTTTGAGCCTCTTGATAAAGAAGATTTTTCTCAATTTTTACAATTGAAGACCTTTGGACAGAGATTATTTGGCTGGGACTTGATAAAAAAATGAATTTCTTAGGGCTTGTTTCACTTTCAAATCAATTTTTGAGAGCTCAAAACAAAAATTTGTTTGATTTTATAATTTTTTCAAAATTGTTTTTAATCAATTTTTCTATTTCCTCTCTCCTTCTCTCACATCATACATATCAATTAATTATTCTCTCTCTCTCTCTCTCTCTCTTTTTCTCTCTCATATCCTATACATCAATCAATCACTTTTTCTTTTGCACACATTTATTCATCTACAAAAAAAAAAAAAAAAAATTACAAATCATCTCAAATTATAGAACTCTAGCTACAAAACTATTTTTAATATATATAACCAAATAAAATTTTAAATTTTGAAAACTTTTTTAAAAAATTTATTTTTGAAAATTGATTTCAAAATCAAATCAAGCGGATCCCTTTGGTCTTGTGGGTAAGGAAAGTATTTTTTTGTTGGATCTTTAAAAAATGACTTTTTTTTTTATAATTTTTTAATTATTAGGCTTTTGGACGAAGAAAATTTTGGAGACTCATCCAACATGGGAACTAAAGCCATTGTTTGAATGGCCTAAGACATGACTCGGCCGGGTGCTTGACTGTGATGACCGGACCGATCAGTTGTAGGCCAATCAGTTTCTCTATGTAGCACCAAAGTATATCAATATGAAAGGACCATAAAGAGGAGAATAAATTACTTGCTTACACTTCGGTTTATAAAAAAAATAAGGATAAAACAAACTACTTGCTTCCAGTCTGATTTAGAGAAAGGGAGAACAAATTACTTGCTAGTTCATTACATTCATATGTACAAACGAAGTGCATAAAAATAAAAATAAAAATAAAAATAAAAAAGTATACAATTTAATAGATTGGAAATAAAACAAAATAGAATTTAACTAGCCATGGTGTTTAAATTTGAATTTGGGGTGATTTGTGTGCTTTATGCATAGGGTCACCGTTGTGCGGTCAGTGGAGTCTATTATGGGTCATATTTCAATAATCCGAATTATTCATATTTTAGAGCCTATCAAATAGAATATATCTATAAAAAATCAAATTGATCAGACTTTGATGATTGTTCGTTTAATTGCATTTGTATTTTAAAAAATGAATGGTGAATGTAATTTTTTTATATAGAAAACTGAATACAAATGTACTTAGATAAAAGGGCTACTGATATCCGATTAATTTAAATTTTTTGAAGTATGTTCTACTTGATACATCCTAAAATTGAATGATTTGAATTATCAAAATAAGACCTGAAATGAGCGTTATTAGCCACACAACAATGACTATTATGCTTTATGCACAGCAACTACCCATCTTCCTTAAAAATTGGCAACGTTTGTCCTTCTGTTATCATCGGAACGGACTTCAATCTAGGCCATCCTTTGATCTGAACGATGAACAAAATGGAACTTTGATGAATAACCAAATAGTGCTAATTCATCTTATATTGCACATGCCGAGAAACACACACCTCTCGATTTTTTATCGGAGACATGGGTTCCGACGAAACCCACACCTTGCGATTTTTTATCGGAGCAGCCATTGAGGGAGTTCAAATGAGAGGGAGAGGATAGAGAATGAGAGAGTGGGTGTGAGTGAGATACATACTCATAAATGGGTGAGGAACGGTTTAAAAAAATATATATATTGTGAACTTTTCTCATTACTAAAAATTGGAGAGGAATGTTAGATTAAATATTCCGCTAGAAAAACCACCTCACAAAATTAAAATATTATGTAATTGACATAGTATTTTAGTATATTTAATATTTATAATAAACTCAAACACATATAAGTTTGATATCATTTTTAAAACCTTTTTTTTAATGAAAAAATTGGAGAAAACTAAATACTAATTTGGTGAAAAAATTAATTAAAACCACTTATCATTTTCGTATAATTTTACTTTTTTGGGGGTAAAAATGTTTTTTTGATTTCAAATTTGTCAAATTAATTTTAATTTTCAAAAAAAAATTTAAAAAATTAATTATAAAATTGAAACCAAATAATTAGACATGTTGCACATTTTAAAAATCTCTCTCTAACTTTTTTTTTTTTTAGATGGCATGAAACTGCAGCCAAACAAAACAAATTATCTATAACCCACTGCATCTCTCTCTCTCTAACTTTTTTTTTTTAGATGGTTTGCTTCTGATTATTTCAATATAATGTGTTTGGCAACAAAACTCTTTGAACAATATTTATCTCTCCCTCTAACTTGGATTTTTGAATTGCTTTTTTCAACTACTTCTAGCTTTATTTGCATGCATCTATATATACTAGGGATGTCAACCCACTTGATAGGTGTGTTTAAAATATAAATTTTAATCTTGAATTTTAAACATATTTTTAATATTATTTAAGTGGTGAAAGTATTCTTTATTATATTAATCAACAGTCATTGGTTCAAGTCTTGTGTCTTTTTGTGTAACTACATATTATTAAGTGAAGGCTGAACTTGGTGTCTAAGTCTTCTCCTCATGCCACATGGCATTTTTTTTTTATCCTAAAAACATACTATTATTAAGTGAAGACTGAACTTGGTGTCTAAGCCTTCTCTTCATGCCACGTGCATTTTTGTCTATCCTAAAAACAAAATGACAAGTGTAGCTCAAGCAGCTCAAGTGACAATGCACTGCTTCCAGACAGTGACAATGCAGCCAGGCCTAAGTCTACTTAGGTGTGATTCATTTTGTTAAATAAAATCTTTTCATTCTTTCTCTCTTTTCCTTCATGTCATGTGGTATTTTTTTCTATCCTAAAAACATACTATTGTTAAGTAAAGGCAGAACTTGGTATCTAAGCCATCTCTTCATGTCACGAGGCATTTTTTTTCTATCTTAAAACAAAAATTACATGCAGTGTTGAAAAAGGTTTGAACCCAAGATTTTTTGTTTCAATAAGAAATCTCTCACCATTTGGGCAATGTACATATTATAATATTAATTTCTTTATTATTGATTTTTATTCTTATTTGAATTATACATGCAATGCGTGTGCCACCCGCTAAGCTATACATATGAAAACACAATATATATATATATATATCTATCTATTTGTGTGTGTGTTTAGATTCAGACTTTTTTTTATTTTTTTATTTTTGAAATACAGGATGTATACATATATGTATGTAATTTTTTAAAAACTATTTATGACATTTTTTGTTTGGCACCAAATTATATTATTTTTAAAATTTGAATCTATTAGAAAATAAGTTCATTAAAAGAAACAGATTAGTCGGATTGATTTGTCCAACTCACACTCTATTTAACCCAATCCATTTAAACACAACCAATAACTGGGTAAATTGGGGTGAATTATTTTATTACCTAACCCGTTTTAACCGGCCTATTTGTCACCTCTACAAATTACTAATGCAAGGGATTAGAGAAGAGTGGCAACTTCAACAATTTTGATGAATGAGATGACTTTATAAATTTAAGTTTTACAAATTTTAAAAACAAAAAACAACTTTTAAACTAAATAACCTTTATTGCGTTTGGTTCTAAAGTTTTAAAAGTAGTTTTTGATTTTTTTTTTTAAAATTTTTTTTTGTGTTTTGTCAGTCTTAGTGAATTATATATATATATATTAGTAATTTTTTTTAGATTCACTTAAATATATATATATATATATTTTTTTTTTTTTTTTGGGTTTAAATTCTTTCATTTTTTTTTTATTTTTTTATTTTATATTTAGTCAATTTTTTTATATAAAAAAAATCACAAATATTTTTACTTTTAAGTATAACTAAATTAAGTGAATCTAAAAAGAAAGAAAAAAAAAATCTGCTTAAAATGTTTGAAAAAATTCACCAAAAATGAGTAACATAAAAAACAATAAACTCAAAAATTATTTTTGAAAACTATTCACTAAAATAGAGTAAAAATTATGTGTCACAATGATACCGTTTCACCATTGACACGTGATGTTATCTACTAACAAACTTACATGTAGAGGGTGAACCTACTCACAATATAATTATATTGCGAAATATACATGAGAAGATAAATAACAAGATATTATTAGATAATGACACCAATAACATAATATTACTATCGTATTGAACATTTTTTTATTTTATTTACTGGGATCTTTTAATTTTTTAAAACAACCAAAATAGACAAAATAAAATATTACCAATACAAATAAATATATATATTTTTTAAGAGCCTTGGTTACATAGTGGCCTCGCTCTTCAGACATGCGGCATTGATTGAAAACACTGATTGAAGAAGCTGTTTAGACGGAAGGTGTTGACTATGTCAAATATATGAGACTGTGGTATAAGGAACCAAACCAAATTGAGGAGCTCGCCTCCTTCTCTAAGCTGTTGAAGATGGTAATTTTTTGGACCACTAATTGCAGCGTAGCATAACATCGCCAACCACACATTTTTCAATTTTTCCCATTTCACCTCCATATTACCTTCATCGATGAGGTCAGAAAATATTGCCTGAAGTAATACAGACGTCTCTTCAATTTTTTCCATTTTGCGTCCTTCTTCATCACGAGTAACTGCCAGCTCTGTGATTCTTCTCATATCCATGGGAAACATGCGTCTTCCTGTAACTTGTTCATTAATATACCTGGAAAACAATTTGACATCGTTCATGACAAGTATCAACTGACTATCGGATACAACAACAGGCAACAACCAACGGCAGGTGAGGAGTAGATACATCATGTAATTTGATAGAGTTTTGCATGTTTCCTTGTCATCATCATGTCCACGTGAGTTAGCACTATTTTCACTATTTTCGGAAGTGCATGCAACCGACTCTAAATCTGACTCTGACTTACTAGTATCATCATAACGGTGGCACAAATCTGTTATGATGTGCATGATAAAAACTAGCTCATGAAAAGGTGTAGAGCCAATAACCCCCTCAAGCCACCCAAAGTCAATAAGGTTGTCTGTAGCTGCGGCACTACAAATAAATTGAACAATCATGGGGTATAGCCTCGGATGGATACACACACTAGTCGTACGCATGTACCTATAGAACTTGTCTTGAATCCCCAACCTCCCAACTATTCTACTCCATTTTTTATGCTTGTCTTCCTTTTTCAATAGATCGATTTGCCCCATCTTTTTAGACCACTTCTTCTTTTCAAAAAACCAAGGAAATTTCTGCCACAATCGGATTGCCCATTTGCCACTGCCGCACTTAATTAGCCAAATCATTGTCCAATCAGAGAATATTAACAAAATGACTGCATAAATCTCCAAAGCTAGAGCTCCGACCAATAGTACCCCTGTGATGGCAATATCAACCATGGAGTAGTGCTGCTTGTGCCACTTGGCGATAAGCCGGAAGAGTCCTACCAACACAGACACCGTACACATGAAGCTGATAGAGCGAAAAATGCACCCTCTCTTGCTAAATGTTATGGGTGCTTTTGTATATAATAAATCGTACATGAGCCCCATTTCAACCTCCAATACATTCTCAAAATATTTATATACATCCAGATTTATCACATCCTGAAAATTTTTTGCATACCGCAGTTTGAAACTAGATCTACGAATGTCATAATTCTCTACATAATCTTTAAATTCCATCACCAGTTTGTGGGCCATAATTAAAACAATTTCACATCTTGTCTTTTTTGCTAGACCATCTGGGACTCTTAGATCATAAAAGGGTACAATGCTTTTTGATTCATCATAGCATGCTAACTTCAGAGCCCATGTCCTCTCCCCATACTTAATAATTCCAGCCACGAATGCCGGAATTAACATAAATGAAAACCAGAAATGCCTCCAAGACATAACAATGACATAAATTGCCACAATAGCTTGAACACCCATGCCTAAAAAATGCCTTATCCACAATTGATTATCATTCAAAGAATAAGCAGTTATGGTATCTGGGCCACCAAGATGCAATAAAAGCAAGGGTGCCCATAATGCCTGTAATGCATTATTGGGATTAGGAATATTATTTAGGGTACGGGAGAGTTTGCCAAGGGCAACAGTTGCCACCCAATCGGCCATTATGTAGGCCAACCAAACAATCACATTAATCCATTGTGACGATATATTCTTTCTGCGTTTACCAAAGACGAAAAGAATGATTTGTAAAGTAAGACTAAGTAGAACCAGCATCTGAACTTCCCACACATCCCATTGTATCTTCCACGATGCTGGAATCAGATTCATCACACCCTTCTCTTCTTTATCCACATGGAGAGAAAATTAAGTTACTATTAGTAAACATTGATGGATAAATTTAAATTGAGTATAGCTATTCAACTCAAAAAATTAGTCACTTTTGAAACTCTGTGACACTCAATTACAATATCTAAGGTAATATTCTCTCTCATATATTCTTTAATCATCTACTGATTATCTCACTTACGTATCATTGAATCTAAAAAGTGAATTTATATATCATTTTTCATATAAATTTTATATATATCACGCTAGCACATCATAATAGATAATGAATATTCAAAAAATTCTACAACGTGACTCTTTTTTATTATTATATTATAACAATTTATGGTAACGATAGTACTACATAGTTAAAATCATTTGTATTTTTAACCACAACACATTTATTTTTTTACGTGACAAAAAAATATGTACAGCACAGATATTTTTTGTTTTAATTTCTCTTTGGTTAACAAATGTGCTATAAATATTTTGATGCCTAAATGCTTTTTTTTTTTAATTCTATAGATGCCACATGAATTGTTTAGTTGCAAAAATAAAAATAGAAAATTTTGAAATAAATATTTTTAAAACTTGAAATTATACAAGACTAATTTCATATTTGGAATTTTTTTTAAAGATTTTTAAATTTCAAATTAGAGATGGCTAAATTTCTTTTTGAATTCCAAAATTATAGATATGGTTAGATGGCCAATATTTCTATGCATGTGCATTTCTTAAAATTTAAATATTTAAGAAATTTAGATTAATACTTTTGGAGCTCATAGAACATTTTCAGATGAAAAGTTTATTTTAGGGGAAATTATAGTATAGTGATATAGAGAGAAAAAAATTATAAAAACATGTGAGGTGCAAGTGATTCTGTAATATGATACAAGTGAAATGCTCTTGTACCCCTTCATGTTTGTGTAAAAAAAACTTTTTTATCCCTTGGGATGTAATTCCTCTTTCATTTTACTTAATATATAGGTGTATACCATATACATCTTATAATTAAAAAATAAATTTATATAATTTCATACTTTCTGAGTTATAACTTAAAAAAAAATGAGATAACTAAATATAACATAAGGTATAATTAAATAACTCATGAGTCATAATTAAAATAATTATTTTGTAATACCATAGAACCATATGGTATGATCCATAGAACCATATGGTGTGACAATCTAATAGCACATATCTCTTGTTTTTTGCAATACCAATTAAACAAGGGGACCCATTCCCCTACATATTTGAGGCTTTCAAACGAATATATTTATTAGTTTTATATTTTTGAAATCATAAGTCATTTTAGGTCTTTGTTGCTTTATTAATAATATAAGGGGGCCTTCGGGTTTGATCTACAAACAAAAACAACAAAGCAGTCACAATTCTCTAGCCACATAGCAATTACTTAGCGTGAATCACATTCGTTTAGTAAATAAGGAACGTTAAAAGATGAAGTATTAGAAAATCCCAAACAATATGCCTTTTGGGAGGAGGAAAAAAAAAATAATGAAAAAGAGTCCTTTTGACAGAGAAAAAGATCTAACCTCTTTATATATATTTACATACAAGTTAATATAAATAAATAAAAAAAATTATAGATAATGGACTTGTATGATAGTATGAAGCACGTATGGTATACTTGCATGTGCTCTGCCATCCAAACCAAAACAAACAAGAATATACATATTCGTATATATATATATATATATATATATATCATTTTTTGTTTTTTGAATTGTCTAGAGAGTAAGATTTGAGGCCATCCCTTCAAACATCCACTCATTAGGGTTTTGAAAATTAGGGAAAACAAACTAATTCGTTTTCAAAAGTAGGGAAAACAAAGGAAAATAGAGAAATTGAGCGAGAGAGAGAGAGAGAGAGAGGACCCATACTTGATGTCGGGGTTGTTTGAAGATAGGTGAACTGGTAGTAGCAGAAAAATGGTGATGGTGGTGCTGTTAGGTGCGAAAAGAGAGAGCAACCATGTAAGTAAGAGGAGTAATGGAACACAAATACAAAAATTGAGAGAGAGAGAGAGAGAGAGAGAGAGAGAGAGAGAGAATACATACCTAACAATGGAGGCCCAAGTACTTCTCAAAGCGCCGCTGATGCTTGGTCGAAAAAACGACACATGCAACTGCAATGACAGAGGAGGAGAGACTTTGTTGACTGCAATCTAGTAGGAGAATCGACGAGCAACTGTGATGACGAAGGAGAAGTGACTTTGGTGACTGAAATTGAGCAAGAGAATCGACAATGAGGTGCGTGCGTATGAGGAGTGATGCACGGACTGCGGGCAATTTTCCCCTACAAAACTATTTGGTCAGTAATTTCCTTCAATTTAGTTACAGAACCATCAAAAGGACATAGTTTTATAAATTGTCAAAATTTTTTGTATTCCTGCTTTTTTTTTTTTTCCTCTTCGACTTTTGCCGACCAAATTTCAATTTTAGTTGGAGAAAATAATATTTTGGCAACTAAAAAATATTAGTCGGCAAAACTCCAAACTTTTGCCCAGCAAATTTTTATTTAGTCGCCAAATTAAAACTTTTTACGACTAAATAAAAGTTAGTCAGCAAAATTGGTTGGGAAAAATGTAATTTCTTGTAGTGTAATGTCATAACTAAATAAAAAAATAGTATAACTAAGAGCGCATATAGTACACTATTTTTAAGAGTGTGTATATTAGAATTTTTTATAGTTATAAATCGATAGATTATTCAATTAGTAAAATAGATAGGAGGGACCGACTAGCACGAGACAACCCTCCTCAACATTAATTATGTGAGTATCTACCCATTGGAAAATCAAATACGAGGTCTTAAACTAGCTCAGCAACGTTGGGAACCACAACAAGGGTACAGGTAACTCTCACAAGTAAGAAGTGTCATTTGAAGCTACCATATAAATTGTTTCTACATTATTTTGCAAAATATTCAAACCTCAAAAAACATTTCTCACAAACAACATTGTTAAGGCATTATGAATATAGAGATAAGGATAATGTAGGACAAATCAAAATTAACTTTATAGAAGTTAGAATCTCACTTGGTGACTCCTGCAATGATATCAAATTCTTATTGTGGCTAACATGTAAACTGAAAAATAGAAGTAAGAAAATGCCAACTTGTCAACTAATTAAAAAGAAAAAATATAAATGTATATACATATTCTTAAAAGAAAAATGGAAAAACACTCTTTTGTACCTCTATATTGCCTGTGATGACTTGAAAAGCAAGAAGATCAATGCAGATATGGTACTCCATATTACCTCCCAATCCTTATATTTATATAGAAACAAAGTATGTCAAAGGACAAAAAAGAAGAGAATATATTACTTGCTTGCATTTTGATTTTGGAAAAAAATGAGGAGAGAACAAATTACTTGCTTGCAATCTGATTTAGAGAAAAGGGAGTACAAATTACTTGTTCCGTACATTTAGATATACAAAAAGTATATCAAAGGACAAAAAAGAAAATTAAAAATAAAACAAGTTATTAGCTTGGAATCTAGTTTAGAAAACAAAAGCCAATTTAACCAGACATATGGCATTTAAATTTTGGCAACATTTGTCCTACACTTGACATTAAATAGAATTTAGTCCATTGACTAGAGCTCTTCCACTGTACTAAGAGGTCAAGAGGTTGATACCTCCTACTTGTGTGATGGTCCTATTCGCCTTGTAGTCCTCTTGGGTATCTTTTTCCTTCTTTGGGAGTTTATTTGTAGTTCTCTATCTTATAATTGTTAATTCAAACTACTTAAATGTTTTGAGAAAAAATGTAATTTAAAAAGGGTTAACTACACTAATGATCTACAAAGGATACGTTATACTATATTTTAGTCCCAATTTTTAATTGTTCCTCTTTTGTTCTCAAAGTATGTAATTTGTTACATTTTAATCCCTGCCGTTAATGTCATTCAAAATCAATAACACAAAAGAAGTATTTTTTAAAAATTTCATGAAACTCAACAAAATCAAAATAACGAATAACAAATACTTGATGGAATTAATCAAAAGCCAGCATTTTGTAATTAACAAGGATTTGGTGGAATTAATCAAAAGCCAGTTTTTTGGGAAGTATGTTAAAAGTTAAATTTTTAATTTTTTTGGTATTTTTTTTTCCGAAAAAAATGTACAAAAAAGTACAGAGCTAGTATAACTAAAAAAAGCAAAAAAGCCAAAAAGTTGGCTTTTAATAAACTTGCCAAATATGCATAATTTTCATAGAAATTAAAACAAAATCATAAATTCAAGACTAAAATCAAACCAATTGAAATTATAATAACCAAAATAACACAAAAACTAAAATACAGGAAGAACGGTCTCAATTTGACCTTCTTGTAATTAAAATTCTAAGCATTGGTATTGGGAGCACTTTCAGATAATGATTTTTTTAGTTGAGCTTTGAATATGAAGTTTTTATTTATTGATCCTTCAGAAAATGAGGTTATTTATTTATTTATTTATTATTATTCTGTACCATTACTCAAAGAATAAAATTCTTTTTTGGGTCCCTTGATAAAGAAGATTTTTCTCAATTTTTACAATTGAAGGCCTTTGGACAAAGATTATTTGGCTGGGATTTGATAAAAAATGAATTTCTTAAGGCTTGTTTCACTTTCAAATCAATTTTTGAGAGTTCAAAACTAAAATTTGTTTGATTTTATAATTTTTTTCAAAATTGTTTTCAATCAATTTTTCTATCTCTTCTATCTTTTTCTCACATCCTACATATCAATTAATCATTTTCCTCTATCTCTCTCTCTCTCTCTCACTCTCATTCTCTCACATCCTACACATCAATCAATCATGTTTTCTGTCGCATCCATCTATTCATCTAAAAAAAAAAGAAAAATGATGCAGACCACTAATTAGTGGTTGCACTAGGGATGTGGCAGTGGGTCCCACCCACTGTCACATGTGTTTTGTGTCTTAGTTTTTGTGTTTTTTTTTTTTTTTTTACTTGCCACATCATTAGTGGTAGTGTTAGTGGTAGAAATTTAGTGGTCTGTAGCATTGTTGAAAAAAAAAATTACAAATCATCTCAAATTATAGAACTCCAACTACAAAACTATTTTTAAAATATATAATCAAACAACTTTTTAAATTTTGAAAACTCTTTTAGAAAATTTATCTTTGAAAATTGATTTCAAAACCAAATTAAACAGATCCTTCTTTTGGGTAAGGGAAGTATTTTTTTGTTGGATCTTTAAACCAAATTAAAAAATGACGAAGAAAATTTTGGAGACTCATCCAATCTGGGGACTAAAGCCATTGTTTGAGTCGCCTAGGACATGAGTCGGCCGAGTGCTTGACCGTGATGACCGGACGCGACCAGTTGTGGCCAATCATTTTCTATATGTAGTACCAAAGTATATCAATATAAAAGGACCAAAAAAAAGAGAATAAATTGCTTGCTTACACTTTGGTTTATCAAAAAAAAGGGTACTTTTTCATAAAGAAAAAGAGTGAGACCTCGAATTTGAGGCCTCCAATGTGGCTTGAATTGATTTTTTATTTTTGTTTTTTTTTTTTGAAATTGTGTTGGTTTGGTTGTTTTTATTATTATTATTTTTTATTTGTTGGGTTGTGTTAGTTTGGTTGTTTTTATTTATTTATTTATTTGTTGGGCTGCTGTAAATTTTTTTTTTTTTTTTGGTTATGTGTAGGGGTGGGTTTAGAGTTTAGGTTTTTATTTGCACCGAGTCTTTCTGATTTGAAATAAAAATATAATGACTCGTACAAAATTATATGAAATTAATAAATTTTAACCAGCAGTCTAATTGATCAGTCAATTTTATCACCCAATTAGTCTAACCCAACTCACTCATCTTATCAAACCACATAGGCTAAGTTGTTGTTGTTGTTTTTTTTTTTTTTAATTTGTTGGGCTATGTTGGTTTTTTTTATTTTATTTTATTTTATTTTATTTGTTGGGCTGTGTTGGTTTATTTTTTTTAGGGTTTAGGTTTTAGGATACACATAAAAACCCTTCCAAGAACAAAAAAAAAAACCAAAATCAAACCAACATAGCCAAAAAAAAAAAAAAACAACTATTCGAGGCAAATTCGCGCCTCTCTTTTCAAGGCCTTTAGCACGGCTCTTTTCATAAATCTCTTTTCTTCTATTTATGTTCCATTTAATTCATATTATTTTCTTATATTTCAATAAGTCTCATAAGTGACATAATTACCACAATACTCCTAATAATATTCACATTTACAGTGTGAATGTTTGCACCATCAATGTGAATATTAACATGTTAATGTGAATGTTCATACTTTCAATGTGAACATTCACACATCAATGTGAATATTCACATTGTAAAATATGAATGTTCACATCACCAAATTGTTAACCGTTCAAAAAATATTTATAAGAATAGAAATATCTATAAAATACTTTAAATATGAGAATTATGATTTGATAGATCAAATGCTCAAATAATATGACTTATTGAAAAATAAGAATATCTTATAGACTAATTAGGATATAAACACTTGAAAAAGGATTTTCTAATAAATCTCCCTTAAAAAAATAAGGATAGAGCAAACTACTTGCTTGCAATCTGATTTAGAGAAAGGGAGAACAAATTACTTGCTACTTCATTACATTCAAATATACAAACAAAGTGCATTAAAATAAAAATAAAAAAGTATACAATTTACTAGATTGGAAAGAAAACAAAACAGAATTTTACTAGCCATGGCATTTAAATTTGAATTTGGGGTGATTGTTGTGCTTTATGCACAGGGTCACCGTTGTGCGGTTAATGGGATTCATCGTGGGCTCTATTTCAATAATTCAAATAGTTTATTTTTTAGGGTATATGAAATAGAATATACCTGTAAAAAATCAAATTGATCGTATATTAATAACTTTTTCATCTAATTACATTTGTAATTTGAAAAATGAATGTGATTTTGTGTACAAAACTGAATACAAATGTACTTAGATGAAAGGACTATCGATGTTGATTAATTTAATTTTTTTTAAAATATATTCTATTCAATATACCTTAAAAATTGAATGATTTGAATTATCAAAATAAGACCTGAAGTGAGTCCAATTAGTCGCACAACAGTCAATGTTGTGTCTTTTTTTTTATCAGCAAAGAAAAATTTCATTTAACAGCATGAAATTAAAAGTACAGGAAGATGAGATGCATCGAGAGAGATTCGGAAGTATAAAAATACCCCTACTACTGCTACTCACATCCATACAACCAATCCCAACGCCTCTCAAATTTTTTAAAAAAAAAATTAAGAAAAACTTAACTAGATATTAAATACATGAATCCCCACATAATAACCCACAAAGATACCCAAAACAAACTAAAAAAAAACTAAACAAGACCCACGGCATTAAACAAGACCCACGGCACTGCTGCAAAACAAACTAAAATACAAGAACTAAACTAAAGACACCCATGCAGCCCGAAAGCAACCACGCCTCTGCCAAGACCACGTCACTGCTGCTACAAACTCCCCATGCCTCACGCCTGCACCTGATTACAACCCCACAAGACCCACTCCTATGCTAACACCCTATGCACACGCCACCTCTGACGCAGCCCACACTACCTACGCCTCTGTTGCAGCCTACACCACCTACGCCTCTGCTGCTGCAGCCTACACCACCTACACCTCTGACGCAGCCCACACTACCACTCCATGCCGAGAAAAACTCTCCGGCCGAGTGAAACTCCAAGCCAACACCAGACAGCAGCACCAAGAATTTGACAATGCAGCACCAAGACCCAAGTTCACACCCTCCACCTACGCCTCTTCTTCTTCTTTCACACCCCTAAGATCTTCTTCTTACTTACACCCGCTGCAACTCCAAGACCCACCGCAAAACCAAGACCGAAGTTCTTCTTCTTTCTCACCAAGACCCAAGTTCACACCCTCCACCTACGCCTCTTCTTCTATCACACCCCCAAGTTCTTCATCTTTCTCACACCCGCTGCAACTCCAAGACCCAATGCAGAACCAAGATCCAAGTTCTTCTTTCTCACACCCACTGCCTCTCCCCTTACAATTTGGCAATATTTGTCCTTCCCTTACCATTTAACAAAATTGATCTATTGGCTAGAGCTCTTAAACTGTACCAAGAGGTTAAAAATTTGACTCTGTCTACCTGTATGAGGGTATGTATTACCTTTGTAGTCGTTTGGGGGTATCTCTCTCCTTCAGGAGTTTATTTGTATCTATGCTTTCAAACTACGTCAATGTATTGAGATACATTGTAATTTTTTTTAAAGGGTAATTACACTGATGGTCCTCAAAAGCATATATTATGTTATATTTTAAATCACAATATTTTAATTGTTTTATTTCATATCTCAAAGTATGCGATTCGTTACACTGTAATTCTTGATGTCAACACCGTTCAAAATGAGGGAAAAAAAAAAGAAATATTTATAAAATTTTACATGAAATTACAACAAAATTAAAATGATCAATAATGAAGAGCCCAATAGGTTTGACTTAGTGACTCCAGTCCTGGTCGATGCTAGACTTTAGAAAGAAAAAAAAATTATATTAATTTGATGTGTCTAAATAAAATAATAATAATAATTTGTTCAAAAAAATTGAAT